TATAAAATTAATTTTTTAAAATATTAATGATTTATAAAATTAAACAATTATATTTGATTATTATAATATATTTTTATTTAAAAATTAAATTAATATATAATCAAATTTAAAAGAATAAATTGATATTTATAATTAATGTTTAAGATAATTTGTCACGGCCTAATCTAAAAGAGATAAGTATAAAATGTCTAATGCCCGGGACCCACTGATCCACATGGTAACAATCAGGAGTGGAAACTTAAATATGAACGACAAGGATAGGCTCGTCAAATGGAATCGTACACATAGTCCACATTTTTTAATTTTTAATTAAGTCAAGCCAATCCCACCTCACCGGTTGGATCGAGTAGCCCTTATTATCGTAACAGTACAATTTTCCCATCTCACGTGGAGTTGGGTTCAAGCGGTTATGATATCTTATGAAAAAAAAAAATTCAAATCAAGCCAATCCAATCCAATCCATTACTTATTTTAAAAAAAAATATCAAGTTAATCAGAAAACTATTTCTTACTTTTCATGCAGAAAAAGTAGCAGTCGCGAGACAGAGTAAAGGTGTCTCCCGGTACGTTATCCACTACGGTCAGTTATCCTTTAAGAATAATAGATTTTATTTAAAATAAATTTATTTTATTATTTTTTTTATTAATGCATAATTATATTTTTTAAATAAAAGTTTTTTTTACCCCTAAAAGACCTTTCTGACTGCCACCATAATTGAGTGTCTTGATTTTTCTTTTTTTATATTTTTAATTTATATTTTAAAAATATAAATTAAAAAAATAAAAAATATTTTTTAATTATTAAATTATATTAAAAAATAAATTATTGGATGAGCAGGAGACTTGATTAGAGATAATTCAGGTTGCTGGATCTCAGGATTCACAGTTAATGTGGGCAGTGGCGGAGGGAGGGAGGGAGGGAGGGAGGGTGCGAGAGGGGGCGTTAATTCCCTTGAAATTTAAAATTTTTTGTAAATTAATATATGAAAAATTATTTTATCTTTTTAAAATTTAAAAATTTTAAAAATTAGTATATAAAAAATTTTCTTATTTTCTTTTAAATTTAAAAATCTTTATAAAATAATATATGAAAAATTATCATGTCTTCTTAAAATTTAAAAATTTTGTAAATTAATATATAAAAAAGTTTCTTGTTCCCCTGAAAAAAAATTTTGGCTCCACCCTGAATGTGGGTGTTGCTTTTATTTTTATTGTTGAGCTCTGGGGTCTTCGGGAAAGCCTTCGACCATGCAAAGCTCTTGGGTTAACCCGTGTGGTTGTTGAAATGGACTCATTGATGGTTGTTCATTTCATACATGAAAATCGAGAACCGGACAATTTGGCTGCGACTATTCTATTAGACACTAAGGCTTTGATGCTGGAGTTTGAAGATTGCAGGTTGGAACATATTCTGCTTGAAGGTAATGCTGCAGCTAGCCCTGGGCATTTGAAACCAGAACCGACGGATTACTTGAAAACCAAATCAAAAAAATGAATTTGGTTCGATTTAAATGGTTTTTGATTTTTATTGTTTTAGTTTTTATATTAATCAAATAATTTCGGTTTGGTTTTGATTCAATTTTTTAAAAATTAAAAATCGAAAATAAAACCAAAATTAGGATAAAATAGATAAAATATAATAAAATATGATAACATATATGATAAAATATAACAAAATATGATAACATATATGATAAAATATAATTTATTA